ACAGGAGAGACATTTACATTGGATCTTCCAGAAGGTCTTTGTTGCAATTTTCTCCATCATTGGAAAAAAAAAAAAAAGTTACATCATCAAGAAAGGACAATAGCAGCACAGCTTATTGAAATGTTACAAGCAAATTTGCTTTTGTACTTTTCCTAAGAACAATATGAAATCCCCACCTCCTCCTCACACACATTATTATCTGTAAAATGCCTTTTTTAAAGCACCATGAAATCCTACAAAGAGAAAAGTAGGTAAAACAGCTCCACACATGGGTTTATCATCTTTGTCACTGGGTCCCTTGCTTACAACTCTGTGACAGACAGGAAAGAGGCAGGAGGCTGGCATTGTGCAGTGGTTTGCATATGGCTCCTAGGCACCACTGTGTCTTCTCCCTTCTGACCAGAGCCCTGGGGTCAACGGAAAGACTGGGCTATATCCTTTGCATTGCAGGTCTGCTGGGTGGATGGAAGGGATGTGTTTTTATTTTAATGCACAGGTAACTATTTGAAAATTGTACTTAAGAACCAAGAACACAAAGGAGATTCCAAATCTCAAACACCTGTAAAAGGGATAATCATTTTCAGTAAATCAAAGACCCCTCTCATTTCTCTTCAGTGCCACTGCACGGTCATGTAACCCACAGACCTCCTTAAGAGGGCTGTCCTGGAGCTATTGCACCAGGACAGAGTGCAGGGCTTTATTTAGAGACATGTAACCAGCATGCCATTTCAAAGTTTCATATGCAGAATTAACTGCATCCACAATGCCAGATTAAAGCGACCTTTGTTTTAGAGTTACGCTTTCCTTGTTTAAGGCCATTACTAATTAACTCTTGTTCTCTATCACCAGAAACATCCTCTGCTTGCTCAGCCACTGTCTTTGCACACGCTGCACCTTAAAGAATACCTGCACTTGAAACAGCAGAGTGCCAAAAGCACAGATATGGAATACAATTCATGCTTGTTCTTTCTTCTTCCAGGGCGGCTCTGCAGGCTTGATTGCTTTCCTACATTGTTTCTTGTGGTTCAGAAACTATTGTACACATTGAATGGTTCCCATTCTTACCTAATCCAGTAAGATGAAACCTGCCCTGACCAAACGCTGGTGACATTTTCACTAATCTCCAAAACCAAGCATACAAACAGATATACATCCTTGACTTAACTAGGAAATGATATCATCTCAGAGGGTGGCATGGGGGCGGTTTGCTAATGTTTTGCACTACTAGGACTTTCAACATAGAATGGTCCCCATAGAACCCAAAGCAGCCATTTCCTGCCTCTGTGTGTGTGTGTGTGTGTGTGTGTGTGTGTGTGTGTGCAGAGGGGAAGTACATGAATTCATAAAGTTACCAAAGGGAACTTTTAGTACAACTGACTGCAAATAGCTACAGCTTAAAATTCTTCAACTAATTCTTAACACCATGCAAAAAATGCCACATAGCATGGGCCCCCTGAATGACAGTGTGCTAAAGAGCTGCAAGGGAAGACAGAGGGAGCCTGCATGGGGGGCATGATCCTATTTTGGACAACAGTCTACCAAGTACATGTGGTCTCCCTCCATCACCCAGAAAAAAATCCCCAATGGGTAGGGAACAAATTCTTACCTTAACCTAGAATGAATAGGACCATTAATTCAGTATACACAAATCCAACTTAAAATTTTCACGTTAAACCAAGTAAGCTCATGGATTGGGAGACATTTCACCAGACTAACAGGACACTAATGAATCTCTGTGCTCAACTCCCTTGTGCAGATGAGATGCAGGGAACTGATGTGCCAACAATCACAGGATCTGGCTGTGACCCCAAACAATAGTCCTGGTCACCCCAGACACGCTATATAGTCCTATCCCCAAATGATAAATTGCTGGAATCACTGTTAGATTAGGACCAGGTATTGAGATATATTAGTTTCTCCAAATTATCCCTTGACTCTCATCAGTAAGCCTCTAGATGTGTTGTGAGAGAAAAATTCAGTACCCAGTTGCCAGGTGAAGACAAGGCCATTGCCCACTGAAGATAACTGAGCATGTGCTCTTTATACAACATTAAAATGTTCACTCCAGGTTTATGATGGACTGGGAGTACAGACTAGAAGGGGAGGACTCTGTTTATGTGTGTATAAAAAATATAGTAGTTTTGCCTTATCACTTGTGTTCTACATGCTATTTGACCCCATCTTTTAAAAAGGTAACATTCAAGTAACTTCAATAAACTCCTCAAGTCTTAGCTTGAACACATGAGAAGGAAGGAATACAAGCTCTTTATTCCCTCTCAGCTTCTCCTTTGGAGAGTACTTCATGGTTTTTGAAAGACTTTACCCACATATTTAGTGGCTCAACCTCCAGAGAGGTCATCTTTGACATTATTTGGGAGGGTCTAGTCTCTGTTGTTCTCAGGGGAGGGGTTAGATCAAAGATTTCCACAGTCCCAGACCAGGGCTATGTTTGATTCTCTGTATTACTGTGATTCGAGACGTTGGGGGGAAGTGTGTACGCACAGACCAATACATGCACCTATTCCATTTGGTAGAGTATACAGCTTAGAGCTCTGACCTGCTTCATTCCTGCTGTGTGCAGAGTTGCTACAAGATAAGCAAGTAAAGTGCAAAAGCGTGCTCTCAAAGGGCATTTCCAACAATAAATAAAAAGTGCCATGTACAGCATTCCCCAAACCAAAACAGTGTACGGTAGAAATCTTTAAGGGCAGCCCCAAGGTCATGTTCACAAAAAAGACCTCATGCCCTCCTGGGGGTAAATACTCCTCTATAACTTCCATTACCTCTGTAAACTGTGTCCATGAAGCTTAAAAGACAGATGCACACAACACACACACGTGCATGACGTGGACACTACAAAGTTGAAAGCAGACTTTGGTCACACTTTGAATACCAACTGTACCACCTTCTTGCTATGTGCCATTGGGCAAGTTACTTAGCCTCCCTGAGCCCCCATGTCCTTGTCTATAAATAGATTTGCAAACACTTCCCACATAATATCGTGAGGTTTCAGTGAGCACCACCCACCATAAAGTGCCTAACCCAGCGCCAGGCCCAAGGAAGGCACTGGATAAATGATAGGAAGCCTCTTTGCCAGATTTGGCTGCAGGACTTGAAATTTTAACACACTGCAGTAAAAAGGTTCCAAGGTACGACAGTATAGAAACCCGAATGAATGAGATCCACGGACAGTTTAATCAGGAAACTTTAGCTTGTCAGAATAAGAGAGGAAATCCCAGTTATCTACGCATTCCTTAAAACACACTGGGTCAGGCTGGATTGGTTCCCTGGTAAATATCAACCCCCACACCTGCACAAACATCATTGCCCAAGTGTCTACTGGCACTGGTGACCAACCAGAGTCACCAGTGAGCTTCAGCTTTAGCTCAGTGGAGGGGTTAAGCCAAACCTACCCTAGACAGGACAGGCCTCATCATAGTGGTTCTTATTTAGCTCCTTCTAAAAAGCAAAGCAAGACCCTTAACTTAAAGTTTTAGGGGTTTGGAAGGAAGCATCATATGCTCCAGGCAAGGGAGACTTCTGCGTTTTGAAGAAACGGACACAGATAGGTGTTCCACAGTGTTCTGGAAATCTGAAATCACGAGATGGTTTCTGAAAGTCTCCAATTGTGCTGTAATCTTTTAGTAGATGCACTCCGTGGATTCATTATACAAAATCCTATGAAATCCCCAAAAAGTAGCCAAGTTCAAGTGCTTACGTGTGTGGCCCAAATAGCTAGCTCACTTTGAGCCAGTATGACAGCGAGTCAATTACGATCAAAACTGAAGCACACCCAGAATAATGGCCTAGTATTAATTTTTCCCTTTCTGATAAAAACCCATTTAAAAAATCATCCTTTCAAAGTCTATGACTAGCCCATTCCCCCACTTTCCTTCTCAGAATGTTCTAACCCCATGAACAGTCGTAATTATCACATATTGGTCATTGTTTACCTTGAAATAATCAATTATAGGAGTGTTCCAATTTTAGTGAATAACAGTACGAGATAAAGAAAGAAGCAAGGAAAACAGGTGATGCTTCCAAATAAAGGAATAGCCAAACATAAAAGTAAAATGAAGTCTTTTTCTTCTTTGAAGTATTATTTTTTAAATGGCATTAATGGCACTTAGCTGCAAGCAAGTAAAACATTTCAATCTTACTATACAACGGTTGGGCAAGAGACAAATGTTCTTCTTGTTTGGAAATAGCAAGATTGGGTCTCGTAACTATGTCTACCCTAAGACACCCAAAGGGACAAAAAGCCCTGAGATGGAAATAAGCCACAGTCCTCCTTGGTGTGTCTCAGAAATGCAGGATGTCTATTGTTATTAGAGTCGGCTAGACAGAACAGCAAGCCATGGGCATCACACAAGGCAATCGTTTTGGTATTTTCCCCCTCCTATCAAAACAAGTCAGAGCCGAAGTTTCCGTAGAAAAGTGAACATGAGTGTTTTAAAATCAGTTTATTTTCACCTTCACACCCACTGAGGAAAAATGCATGATTTTGCCTTTAACCAGGCAACCGCTGAGGTTGAGTTTTCACCAACACTTGCAAAGTCCACTTGGACTACCTGCTACCCCTGTGCGAAGGACAAAACTCAGTAGGGCTTGTGTCATTGGTTAAGGTGATATCCACAGTGTGATGTGTCTGTCATGATGTTTTTCTTTTGTAATGAGAAAAGCAATTGCACCTGTTAGTACGTGTGCTCTGATCTGCTTCCAACCAATCCCAGATGCTCTCAGGTCCCACAAACATTCATTTGATGCTCAGAAAGGTATTATGCACTGAATGGTTTGTACTGAAATTCAAGCTCAGAGCACATGCCAAAATGTCACCTCTGTCCCAAGTTACAGTTACCAGTTCACCTGCACACAGGTCCCCCCCTTCTGTGTATGCCATGTCACTAATGGTAGGTTCAGGAAATAAGATTCCATTTAAAAGACACACCTGTTCCTCTTGGAGACTGGTCTAAGGAATAGCTGCCCTTGTCTATATGGCCTGCCAGGGTGGCACTGTGCAGTAGGACAGCCATGGGAAGTCCCTTCACATGTACTGCTGTGACCCACTATGTGTGCAAATGCTCCCTGTGTGTCCTGTAGCCTCTATCTGAAATGAAGTTTTTGTTCTTTGATTCATTTTGGCAGAGCAAGCTTTCAGTCATTTATGGCACAGTGAAATATATTCTTCAATGCTATGTAATTTTGGACTCACAAGAAGTCTGTTTAAGGCACATGTCTCAGTGTGAATATTAAAAAAAAAAGGACCACACAATGCTTAGTTCAAGTCCAATGTCTTTAACATTTAGTTTCTGTCTTCAAGTAATGCGTTGTTCTCGAGCTCCCTGTCTTTGGTGTCCATGGGTACCATTCCATTCTCCAACTCAGCGTGCTGCTGGATACACTCTGTCAACATGGCTGTGCTGGAGTTGTCCGAGTTACACATCTTTTCCGTCTCCTCCTCTCTCTTCTCTTCATCCAGGGAGTAATTTCGGAAGGTCTTGTAGATTTTCTGAACATCCTCAGGCAAGGTCTTTTTGAGGTCTTTGTTTTTCCTCTTAGTGAGTTTGGAAGTGGACCCAAACTTGTTGATGATGTTGTCTTCAGAGGCCCCTTGGCCATGTTTGTTGAGTTGCTCTGATCCTTTAAGGCGCAGGTTGTTTGGCCGGTTGTTGATGCTCTCTTGGGATGAGGCCTTGAAGTGGCCTGTGTCCAGAGCAGCAAACACAGAGCGTTTCTCCGGGGACAGCATGTCCAACGAATGAGCTCTCTGATCCAGGCCTAGTCTCCGGCGCTCCATACTACGAATGGTGGCCGCCCGTTGCAGCTTATCATGAATCTCAACACTGAGTCGCCTCCTGGTCTCCCGGAATTCGGCTGTCACATTAGCCTTCCACTCAGCAGCGTGGGCCTTGATCTCCCCAACCTGGTCAAGAGAAGGAAGAGCAACAACACATTGAGACATTCCTCTCTATTTGGGGCCTCCCAGCACTCATAGTCCTTGGATGTCCCCATAGGTACACCAGGATATAATGGAACCTATGCCCAGAGAAAAGGGATAAAACACTACTTCTGCCCTAGTACTTCTTGCCACTCAAATAAATACCCATCTCAAAGTGGCTAGTGACTAATGTGGCTCAAGGAGGCACACACATGGGAAAACCCAAAGAATGCCCAAGATTGGGAGATGGTGATTGAATCAAAGTTGGACAGCATTTTGGAGGAAAGACCAATACTTGGGGCTCCAGTTCTGTTTCCCTCTTTTGTTTTAATTGTATGATTTCATCCCTCCCACATAAATTGAAATAATCATATCTAGCTCATAGGGTTTCTATCATTTTGTAAGATAAGGAAATGCACCTATCCCAGCCCTGAGCATAAAACAGATTCTCAGCAAGCCCTTTGTCCTTTCCTTCCTTCCAATATCTCTATCTGAGTAGGGTGACCAGCCTGTTCCAGATTTCCAGAGACTTTCCTGGTTTTAAAGCAGAAAATCCTATGCCCATGGAAACCCCCCAAATCTTAGGCAAACAGACAATTTATAACCCTTTATCTGGGGCCTTGCTGTGACTATGTGCTGTAGAGCTTGCCCTGGATGAAGAAGGTCCTCCAAGACACCTGGTAACATTTCTCTACTCAGGTGCAAGAAAGGGTATGTTCTTCCAAACCCCACCCAAATATACTTTCTTAGAAAATGAAATTTTGCCTGAGGATCAGCACCAAATTTCTCAGATTTTAATCAACAGGACAGTCAGTACACATTCCATACTTCCCTATAGAGATGAGGGACTCAAACTTTTGCATTTAAGAAAGTCAGTATTTAGTGTTTTTCCTTTCTCTTTTGTTACAGCTGATCTTCAGTAGGTCAGTTGGCCATCTGGGGAATCAGACTGGAAATGATATTGACAGTGTTTATGCAAACCAGGAAAAATAAAAATGGGTTCAGGAATGAGGGGGAAATTTTTCCTTCAGCCATTTTCTCCTGGGGCCCTTTATATACAACGAGGTGAACAGTGGCCCTAAAGGGACTGTCCCTCTCTGTAGTTCTTCTTCTCTTAGCTCTGTCTTTCTCCTTCCATGGCTCTCCTACTTCCTTATTTCTTTTCTCCTCTTCCAAGAAGAATGACTTGAGTTTTTTTTAACCATGAAATTTATCTTTCCTTCTATGTCTTCCTTTTCTTGACTTTGCATGAGTGCTTGTGTACATTTATAAGAGGAGTAAATACTGAGTGCCTCTGGCAACAGGAATAAGTTTGTCTCTGAGGCTCTGAGAACCAAAGGGAGACACGGAGGGGATGTAGGTGAAAGGGGCCCCTTCAGCCCACTTGGCTGGCCATGCTCAATAACTTCAGTCTCATACACTGAATCAAGAAAGAGTCATGGCATCCAACTGCATCTCCACACAGAGTAGCTCCCCTGGGCTCCTTATGAGTCTTCTAAGGTTCCCCATGTATTTGGTGATGAAGGGCCATGACAAACCTCCCTCAGCCATAGTCTTCCCTAACTTACTATTTCTGTTTTCATTTGTATATGTAAAAATCAAATGAAAGGTTGCTTTTTACTAGTCTTCCCAGGGTTTGTGGTTGGTAAGTGAATCACCATATTTTCTCACATGCCAAAAAAGGTTTCTAGAAATAACTGCTGTTTCACTCAATTTGACTTCTGCATTGAGTCAGAAACACTCCAACCCAGAGAACAGAGATAGGCAATTCTTAACACAAGCTAATCTGACGTCAGGGACATTCACAGTTTGGAAGGGATCCTACCTCTTCTTTTGTCTTTTTGGATAGAACCCGTAGCCAGTCTCCAATCATACTGAGGACAGCTGCAAAGTAGGCAAGGCCAACAAGGATCCAAAACCACACTAGGGGCTTATACCACTCCCGGTAATTGATGCCAGCATTTCCCCCTAAAAACAATCAAACATTATTTTAACACGGTCTAGCAAATAGTCTTTGCAGAGCAAGTATGTTCCAGTTCATGCAGTGGGACTGTCCATTACCCAGTATTCAGCCATTAGCTTGCAGACATGACAAGGGCTGAAGGGCAAAGGAAAGATGTGTGTGTCCCTTCCCTGTGAGAGCCTAGCTTGTGACTTGACTTCTTTGACTCATGACTACTAACCTGAATACCTGTAAAAGAAAAATGTCATGGTCTACCTCGACCTACCTATTCTCAGCCTGAGCCTCAATGATGAATGACTTTATGCTAATTTACCTCAGGGCAGGTCCCGCTGTCACTTTGTGTTTCTTAAACTTTTCCAAATTTATTTTAATAAAAATAAAATATTAATAAATCATCCCAAATGGTGTGGAACTCTTGGAACCATTTCCATCTTAAGCTCACATGCATTTACCAAGAAATGAGTAGATGTGCAAGGTAAAATTAGAATAATGGTATTACTGAGACTTTGATCTATGAAATAATGATTCAATGCTAGCGAGGGATGGTGTGTACATGATGCTAATCCTAAGGGCCAATTAGACCAGGTAATTAACATCACCATAAGCTAGAAATAAAGGGGACCTTTGAGGCTAGCTAGTCCAATCCCTTGATTTTATAAATAAAGATTACAGTGAAAATCTATCAAACCAAATTGGCCACTTACCTAATGGTATTGACTAGCTGTTCCATTGAAAAGACTAGTCATTTATTCTGAATAACTAGCCTATTTATTCTAGCCTTCCTGTAAGTACTGCTGAGGGCAGTTATACAAAATAGGCTCCAAACCCAGTTTGGTCTTCCAGAGAAGGGAGGAATCTTGGTGACATAAACAGACATTAGCTTTGTTCTCACTCTGTGAGACACAGCTGCCCAGTGAGGGAGGCAGGGCCATGTCTAAGAGGACCAATATTAGCAATGCATTGCTAAATACTGTAGCAGGTGATGAATAATTGATTGCTAGACTTTCCCACTGGGTCGTGGCTGTAACTACATTTGGTACCACTGAAGCCTCGCTGAGCTTTTATGGCATCGATACCTTGAAAAGCAAGCTGTACAGAAACCCGGACCTATGGATCTTCTCAACACACCCATACTCACTTTGCAATGGAGCCCATGAGGTCTTGACAGCTACTGACACTTCTTAAAGTTAGAATTCCAAACACTGTTAGAGAGGGCTCTGCATCAAGTCCCCTGTGGTTTGGTTTAGCTGCCTTTGTGTTTTCCCTATAGGCAACTCTTCCCTGAAGCTTTCTCCAGGATACAATTTGAATTCCTACAACATTAACTGGCTTTTGAGGTTCACTATGTTTCTATGCTAGGCCAGAGAACACGGTGTTCTCCTTTGGGCTATTTACCTTTGCAAGTCACTAGCACTTGACTCAGACTGTCACTAGGGTGCGCTAGAGAACAATTCCACAAACACCCTTCTGAGAAACCTTTTTATCAGCTACAGGCTGGAATTGGGAGCTCTCTCTAGGCTCTCAGTTAGGGTTGTGAAATGCTGCAAAGTCATTAGGTGATACCAAAATGGGTCAGCTGCAAAACAAACCACCAATCAATTCTGCGTGACCAATGTTCCGATTATATCTCTGGTAGAGTTGATACCATATCAGATCACTGCAGTCATCAACTCTTGGCCATGTCTTGTTTTAATGGTTAGGCAACCTTCCCTTTCACTCTTAAGAGTATAGTTGGCGCTACATCTGTAGATTCAACTAAAGGTGGATCAAAATTTTTTGGAAAAAAAATTGTGTCTGTACTAAACATGTACAGATATTTGTATTCCTCATTCCCTAAACAACAACTTATATATACCTAATGCAATGCAGTCACAATATATTAGTTAATTACAAGTCATCTACAGATGGCTTAAGGTATGCAGGAGGATATGCAAAGATTATATGAAAAACTGTGCCATTTTATATAAGGGACTTGAGCATCTGCTGATCTTAGTATCTGCTGGAGTCAATCCCCCATAAATACCAAGAGACAACCATACGAACAAATTCAGTGACAAACTTCAACTGCATGCATTTTTTTTAAGGCATAAATTCTCCAGATCAGTCCATGGAAGCTCTGGAAACTGGAATTTGGAAAAGTCTGATTTAATTGCAGTCAGCACTGTGAGTGATAAGAAACCCAGGTCTGTTGAAACCTCTAGATAAAAGAAGATGGCGTTGTAATCATTTGTAAGTAAGGACATTGAAACAGTGCAGATCCTGCGTTGGTGTAGGTTTTATTCTTCCTGGGGTAAGTTAAAAAAGAAAAAAAATGTCAAATGTCAGTATGTACCAAGTGCTCAGTCCATGCTGGCTGGTAATAATTACTAAAGGGCATAGTTTTCTTCAATCTCATACTCCAAGGACTCTGCTATTTGTGCTCTAATTAGCAGGCTGAATTGAGCTATTGGTTAGATAGCAGGGTCCATCACAAATGCCTTATAATTCATAGTCCTTATGACAGTGGTGCCAGCACAGAGAAGAGCTCTGAAGTACAACCCAATGCAAATTAAGTTGCAGGGGTCTTAAAATGTGTGTGAAGCAGTTCTAAACTCCATCTCCCCCTTCATGCATGACATTGGATTGGAACCTCAACTGAGTTTTTCCATGGACCAGCTATGAATGATGCTAAGTTATTAACCTGAACACACATGCAATTTTTCCTCTTACTTTTCTCAGTTTCTGTGGTTTGTCTCCAAAGCTTGAGGTCTCTAACCTGACACCAGTAGTTGAGTACTGTGCACAAGGAAAGACAGGTGGGATCCCAGGCCCTAGGTATCCAGTAAGCATCTTTTTTGGGGGATATGGGGATTCTCACTAACTGGCCCAGCTACACTAGAAGTTGAGATTCTACTGCCTCACCTACCCAAGATTACAGGCACACACCACCCTGCCCAACCTGTAAATCATTTGTAATCACTTTGACTTTGCAATTCTTTTTCATTTGTCCACAAAAAGGAAGAGGAAAACACTGCTACTTTTTTGTATAAAGTAAGACTCGGAAAAATTGCCAAACCCCTCGGCCAGTGACCTGCACTGGAGCATTGACATGGAGGCACTTATGCTCCTGTTGGTGAGCCTCTACCATTCCTTCCACAATTTCTTGTTTATTAGATTCCCAGAGACCAGTTCCCCATCCACCTTACATGCACTGTAGCCCCAGGGAAACCAAACCAAGGTGCTGTTGGGATCACGCAACAAACAATGAACAGCCTGCCTAGGAGGTCATCCTGCAAGTGTCCAGGCTGCTGCTTACCCAGGAACTAGTAGAGAAAACACACACACACACACACACACACACACACACACACACACACACACACACACATACTTCCCAAGTATTTCAAACTTATGATACAGCTGTTTGATCAAAATGTTTGCTTCCTGAAGTTGAACATAACCAATTATTGGAACAACTAGAACTATTACTATAGGGCAGAAGAATGAATGCCTCTTATTCCTGCCTTTCTACCACACATTGGGAAACTGGTACATATATGAAACCAATTATCATTTCACTTTCAATCTCCCTTTCCCTAGATAAAATTAATGGTGGTGTGCTCTTACTTCCTTAAACATTGGCATTTATTTTTACAATGAAGACTATTGCTGCTACATACATTTATGCAGAATTCATTTGATTATATTCACTCTGGGTTGTCCTCATCTCCCAATAGTCACTGGAAGTCCTAAACCTTGCACTAGGCATGCCCAGGACAACTTTTGCAGGGACAGTGGCTCTCACCTTGGCATCAGGAAGCTTATCCTGAAGGTCACTGCAGGCCAACCTCTATGCTAACTTCTCCCAAGGTTCATATTTGCCTTTTGTTAATGCACCTTTTATCAGTTGATTCAAGGAGACATAACACATTAGAAGTCCATAATTCAGTGAGAAATTCATTTTGCTCTTGCATAATTCATGTGACGATAAGGGCATGAAGCATCCTGAGGAGGAAGGGGCTGGCTTTCTTTTCATGGCAGAAAAAAAATCACTGCTGCTGTTTACATCACATAGGATTAAGGGTTTGAAATGAGCTTGTGCACAGCAGCAAATGATACTGAGTCACATTTGCTTCTCCTGCAAATATCTGTTATCATGATTTTGAAAAGTACAGCCAAAGATGATTTTTCCCCACCAGGACCCGGATGACTGGGATGCCCACAGTGCTTACCTGCCACAAAATCACCAAAGCCCACTGTGGTCAAAGTGACCACCACAAAATAAATGGACTCCAAGGCCGTCCAGCCCTCGATGTATTTAAAAATGACAGCAGGGATCGTCACAAACACAATGCAGCCTGCCAAGATGAACAGGATGGTCGAGATGACCCGGATCTTGGTCTGACTCACTTGCTTTTTCTAGGAAGAGCAAAGGAAAAAGATTGACAGGCAAAGTCAGTGGCATCAACCTGGATTCAGAAGACAGATGCACAGGAAAGGGGGGTTGCATCAACGGTTTTAAACCTTTCCCCAGCCATAGGTTGCTTTGTTTCTGATGAAAGCTGCAGGCTCTCTCCTAGAGAAATGCACACACAGAAGTTCCTGGATGGACTAGGAGAATCTCAGGCCCCCAGAGGTGAAAGCATATTCTTAGACACCAGGTCAAGAAATGCTGCTTAGCTCATGCTTTGAATATCCCTCGCATGGTTACATGACTGCAATTCTAACTTGCTTGGTAGTGCAAACTTAATTATGTCCCAAGAAGGGCTTGTTGCCGCTTTTCATAAATTACTGAGTCTCCATTAGGGTTTGGGCTCTTTCCACACTAGTGAAGATGGATTTGCACCTAGTTTTCCTCTTGTCAAAAAGAATATGCTGGAATAAAAAGTGACCCAAGAGGCTTGTGAGATATAGTGTGACTGCTGCCCACATTCTCTTCAACAAATCATTAATTAAATTATATAAATAACACCCTGAATCAGGCCAAAGTGTTTGGATGAAAAGAAAAGTATAACCACCCTAGCCTCAATTGTGACAGACTTTAGCCAAGCACTGGTGTGTTTCAAAACCCTCCTTCCCCCTGTGGAGGCTGTGCATTTACAACATACTTCTTTCTTAAAACACACCTGTTTGAGCTGGTTCTGTGGTCATCAAGTCTCCAGACTGTGTTACCCGCATGAGACAAGACAGGAATCAGAATGACAAAGTCACTATCTCAAGGGGTAGTAGGAGTTTCATCTGCCAACTTCTACAGGAGTCATCAGTTAGGTAGCAAAGATGCATTAAGAATGGCAATTAGTTTGATATTGGGCAAAGAAACCATGCCAGTAGAGTAAGGTAAGGGGACTGTGTAGCATCATTGGTAAGCCTGCTGGATGCT